TTAATCGAAGCGAGGCTGGGGATGACTGGTGGCTTATACTCAAGATTTTCGTTTGTTGTTTTCGTATAAAATAATAAATTATCTATTATTTCATAGTTTTTTGCTCTATTTCTTATCGCATCGATATCTGTGTGCTCAAAGCTTTCGGGGTCTTTCAAATAAGCATAGATATTTCCAAATTCAGGATCAGCTTTCAGTTCAGTAATAACCGTATCTCTAGAATCTAAAATTTTTGAAGTCAACACAGCGCATTTAAGTTCATTTCCTTCATCGTCCAGTTTTATACGAGAAAGTGCGTCAGCTACATTGTTTTCCTTACCCGGTTTATATTTTATTTATGATATTATATTCTTGGAGTTTTAAAGCCCATCTTATTAACCTGGGCGTTAGGTTTTTCCCCGAGTAAAGTCTACCAACAGCCGCATGATCCGAAAAGACTGTTACTGGCGATTTGCCGAAATAAACTCGAAATTTGTGTACAGCCATTAATACGGCTAATGTTTCTCTCTTCTGTAGCTGTATAATTCCTTTGTGTCTGATTCAAAGTTTTACTAAAAAATGCCAGAGGATGGTTATTTTGCATAAGAACCGCACCCACCGCATAGTCTGACGCATCTGCTGCAATTTCCAGGTTTTCGTCCCCCTCCGGGAATTTTAAAAACAGGGGCATTGATGAGCGCTTCTTTTAATCTTTCAAAAGCTGTGTTAGCTTCCGCTGTCCACGTAAATTTACCTTTTTCTTTTGATTACTAAGAGTGGTTCAACAATATTAGCGAAATCTTTTATGAAAGATCGATAGTAAGAACATAACCCAAGGAAAGAAGAAAGTTTCTTGGCGGTGTTGGGCGGTGGGAAATTCTTAATAGCTTTTATTTTTGAATCTTGCGTTTCTATACCCTTTTGCGAAATTTTATAACCGAGATATTTAAGTTCTTTAGTTGCGAACTTGCATTTTGAGGCGTTAATTGTAAGACCGGCCTCTTTTAATAATTTAAAAACTTGTTCTAGATCATTAATGTGTTGTTCCAACGTACTACTCGTTATAATTATATCATCTAGATAAATTAAAGTTGATTTTCCTAGGACAGGCTTTAGAACAATGTCCATAGCTCTCTGGAATGTTGATGGGGCCCCACACAACCCAAAGGGCATGCGTAAAAATGCATAAGTGCCCGATTTTGTTATAAACGCGGTTTTATGTATATTTTCGGGTCTCATAGCTATTTGATAGTAGCCAGACGTTAAGTCCAAAGTAGACATGTATCTTGTCGATTTGATCTGTCTAATGATCTCCTCTATAACTGGCAAAGGATAAACTGGAAATTTGGTATTACTATTTAGTTTTCTGTAATCGATAGCAAACCTCCAAGCCCTTTTATCCGAAGGAGGAAACTCGTTCTTTTTCCTACATAGTACGACTGGACTCGCGTACTCACTATTTATGGGCGTTATTATTTTATTCTTTAACATCTCCTGAATATGTTCTTCGATGATTACGTCTTTTGTTTGTCATACGGTAAGGTTTAGTCCTACAAGGTTTTTCGGCATTTAATTGAATCTTGTGCGTCACTATTTGGCAGTTTCCTGGTTTTTCTGAAAACAAATGAGAAAAATTACTCACCACTTGCTGTATTGCTTTCCTTTCATGGTCATTCAGATGGCTAAGGTCCACTTCAGGTGTCTCCACAGGTTCCACCACCCTCTGGTCCATCTCCAACACCACGGAACTATCTTGAAAATTTAATTTGGCCCTCGCGGCCCTTAAAAACTCCATACCTAAAATAAGAGAATGTTGCAGATCTTTCACCACAAAAATTAATACTTTGAGACTTTCCTCTTTTACCTGTAAGTTTAATGATAATTTCCCGATGCAGTGACATGTTTTTCCTTGCGCCGCTATAATTTCCGTATTTTTGGTTTTAAATAATCGTAACCTATAAAAATTCTTTTTGAAGAAATTTTCACTCATAAAATTTTCTTCTGCTCCTGTATCGATGAGGGCTTCTACTGGTACATCGCCAACCAGGACTTGTATAATTGGTAGCTGTGAGTTTTTTACGATGACCGTATTTAAATGTCTATTTGAGGGTTTTTTTTTAAAACTTCCGGGGTCTGGACCCTCCCTTTCACAGGCCCCTCTACTCGTTTAAAGCTTTCCTTTCAATCTGTGTCTTCTGGGTACGCGGATGTTTATTTTCAAATTTTCTTTTTGGGCCTTGACCTTCGAGTTTCGATGAGTTAGCTTGATAGCCCTTTCCCCCATAAGAGCGATTTCCATTTCTGGTTTCCTCATTTGAAGATTTCCTTCGGGTACTTTGAGAATACGTTGCCCCTCTCGCTTTTTCCGCTATTCTGCGATTTTGAAACTTCACCGCCAATTCGAAGAGTTCCTGCAATGTGCTTGGGTTTCTAATTTCAAAGTAGTCTTGAACAGCGGGTAACAATCTTGGTAATATTATTTCAATAATCTCCGCATCGGGTTTCTTCCCATACAGCATATCCGTTAGCTTGATTTTTCGTAGAATAAAGTCCGTCAATTCTGCTTATCCCGTTGATGATAGAAACTATATAGTTCGGCTTCCAGCCGTGCGCGATCTTTCACTATGGGGAAGGCCTTTACTAACGATTTTTTGAAATTTTCAAATGTATATGTCTGGCTTCCAAATTCCCCTAATAAAAATTTGCCTATGTTTTTCCACCATAGCGCGGCCTGTCCTCTTAGTGCTGATGTGGCGATGGCAAATTTTGTCTCTCAGGAACAGGGTAGAGCTGAAAGTGGTTTTCTAGAGCTTCTAGAAATACCGCCACCGAATTTTTTCCGTCGAAATGGATGTTTGGCTTGATTGACGTTCTCAAAGTCTGGACCAGGTATCCAAATCCTTCTAACTGGCTTGTCATTTCTTGGTGTTGTCCAGCGGTTTCCATCCAATTTTCGGCCATTTCAGTTCGATAAGTGTTCGGGCGCCAATGTAACGTTGCGCGCCTCCAACTTGCACGCAACCAAGATGTGACTGACTGTGAAAACTGTATAAAATAGACAGAGTCTTGTGAAGGGTTTAAGTCCCTTTTTTATTCAACGTAAAAAATTACAATTGCGTGCTCTTGACGCTCACACAGACTGCGCCAACTCGGCGGTCAAATAAAAATAATAACCTGAAAAGAAACTAAAGACAAGACTCTAACTACGAGGCTCTCTAAAATAACTAACTCACCGCGTTTTTCAATACCGCTGCTAATTCAGCAGACTTGAAGCTCACTTGAACGATTAACACTACTTCCCACCAAGCACATAGGCCGAAACGCGGGGTTCTTCAATTTCTCTCTAACTACCGCCGCGCTCGTGAAGTCAGAATATCACACACCGAACTCGTTTCCTTCCTATTTAAATCATAATACTTCCGCTGATAATTTGAATCCTTGCGCGTTCTACTAAAATTTACATATTCTGGCATTGGCAGTTCCAGGGGAAAGTAAGGCTTGACAGGAAAGATAGTTTAAACTTAAAATAAATGTTAGTTAAAATAAATTTAAACCCTTCACACATAAACTATTGATCAATGTCTTTTAAAATTTGCTTGTTTTGAGAAAAGTTATCAGAAACCTATTTGATAAGTAGTAACAATACTTTATTTAGAAAGTTATTAAAATGAGCTCACACAAGTGTATGGATACTTTAAACAAACAGTATTTTGAAAAAACATTAAAAAAAAAAAAAAAAAAAGAAAAACCTGAAAGCTTTGAGATTTTATATTGCGCCTAAAAGGGGCGTTTTTTTTTTAACGTTTTGTGTTTTACCTTTATTTATTAAATATCATGTTTTTCGCACTTAAACCATAAACTCAATTCAACAGCAATATGACGAAATATTTCAAAGAGCATATCTTTAGAATTTCCGATACACAGTCTCGCGCGCTGAAGATAAAATTTTTTTTTCGTACAGTGTTGCCATTGCTCGCTTTGAATTACATAAGTTTGTTAATCAAAAACGCATAAATGCTTTACAAAATATGAAATAGATAATAAACCAAATTCCGGCTTCTAGATGTCCATATTTGGGGGGGGAGAGAAGTACGTTTTTCAAAACTGGATGGCTGTAGGCACTGTTGTTTTATCACAAAGCGAAAAACATATATACATTTATGCAGGTTCTTCATTATTTAATTTCTTTAAATATAATACAGGGCTCTAAGATTTGATGGCAACAATTTAAAAAGTGATTCGCCGTTTATAGTGAAACAGCGCAAAATGCCAAAACGAAATTCACAGCTCTTCTGGGCACATCGACCCTTTGGCTAATAATGAGTCATTCAATACTTCATAGGATATCCTCTATAGCTAAAATTACTATTTTCCTGCTCTTTGACATGGATTCAATTAGTATTTTTCATGTAGTAATGTTCCAAAGAATTTTTGAATAACAAACTCAAAAATTTCAAAGCCAGCAGTGGCAACATTCGAAACGTTCGAACGAAACGTGCCAACGTTAGAAAACGAAAGTTAAAATTACCGAAGATCGAACTTTTTGATGGGGAAATGAAATATTGGCTTGCTTTTTGCAGCTAATTCAAAAGACAAGAAAAAAACACATGAAGGCAATTATTTACAATGTCAACTACTATTTCGTTGTAAAGTGGCTTTCATTTAAAGTTAGGATGTTGATTTTAATTATAGTGAACAATTTTGATTAGGATTTTTGGCAAAGCTATCGAGTATTGATTTGTTACTGAGTATGACTAATTTTGCATGTATTTCGCGCTTAGAATTTCTTTTTTTCGTAATGTTAGTTGATGTTAAAACTTTCTAGTGATTTAAAACATTCTAATGCTGTGATATAACTTCATTAACCGTTTTTCACGCATATACGAGAATAAACTTGGCAACTACGGCAATGGTAACCATGGTTAATTTTGAACGAGCATTAAAAAGTTAATAGGTTTGAGAATATCTCGTTCTAAAGTTAATTGTAATTTTTAACATAACGATAGAATTGAGTTCTGGCTTTGTTGCTTGATATACGAGATGAAAAGTGCTGCGTATATTAGGGAATTCTTTTCATTTGCTGCGTTAAGAAAATGAGGTCTCCTCTTGTTTAAGTTTGCGATGCTTGATTTCCAAAAGTTTTCAAGTTTAGGAAAGTCACACCTGGTTTATTCTCGACCTGCAAGTAAGTAGAAATTTTACGTCACAGGTAGGTGTGCCTAATTTATAAATATAACTGTGAATATAATTGTATTAAATGTTAAAAAATCCAGAATTACATTTTAATTTATCGCAACATTCTAAGTTGGAGCCTGCTGTAGTCAGGCGTGTTAAGAAATATTATCTAGCGATAAGAATATTTTGAGCGTTTTGCCTACGACAACTGAATTATTTGCGTTGAATTTTGTAAAACACAGTTATTTAAGATACATGCATATATAAGATACATGCATGTATTTTTATCGCGAAAAATTAAAATTTATTCAAGACTGCAAATGAATTTAGTTGAATATTTTTTAGCTTAAAGAACTATTTTTGGAAATGTCTGCATGTAAGGTATAGCGCGTACAAATTGAAAATTTTGGTAATTATGGGAGCATTTAACGAAGTGAAATAATAGGTTCTCCCTAGTACCTGTTCCGCTGAAGTTTTACTCAGAGCTTTATTTTGATTGTTTAGGCGGATTACCTGCTTTATTTTGATTAGTTAGTCCTTTTTTTTTTTTTTTTTTCCTTACTGGAGAACCGAATGAATGAATGAAATTCAGATAGATCGTCGCAAGACCAGTTCCAGTTTCCTCTATATACCAATATGCATATGGAGCAATCAGTACTTGCATATGGAGCAAGCTTTTGCCGGTTATCTTGTCTTAGTATGCTCTAGGGCGCTAAAAGTATGTGAATGCTTGGGTGGTGGCTTGGCAAATGCGGTCAAGAGCAGGAGACTGCGTTAATTACGGAAGGGGAAAGTAAACGGCTGTGTCAGGGATCATAAGGGAAGATATATTTAAAAAAAAGTGTGGTACTTTTCCGTTTCGCCGGCGCAAATCTCGCCAAGCAGACTTTATTGGCGACAACATACAGTATACACATAAAAAATATTTAAAAAATTTTAGTTCTAAGAATTTTTTATTTTGAAGGCATAAGCATTTTAATATCGCTTAAAATTTTATAAAAAGCCAATAAATAAAGACAATAAATTTGTAAAAAGACATTAATTTAAGAATTTACTATGCTTTCATGGTTCAACATCCTGATTCGTTGGTTCATATCACGTGACCCCAAGCGATCTCATCTCACACAAACTATTCTACAAAAATCTAATGCTCTCAGTAATTATCTACATTAATTTCAAGTTAAATCTTAATTTGGAACACAAGTTTAAAAGCAAGAAATATTTCAATGCGTACGAATAGTTTACTCAGAAATTATGTAAAACTGCAGTGCTTTACTTCGCTAATGCATTCTCATTAGAATTGATGAATTTAATCTTTGACTTTACCTTTTCTATATTTTCGGCTTCGGGTAAGCGCTGTGATTGCATCCTGATTGACATAATTACCGAAAATGGCCTTAGGCATAAAACTGAACTATCTGATAAAAATTCTATGTAATTATATGCCAGTATTGAAAGAAACAATCAATCTGATAAGAAAAAGCTGCGACTTGTTTTGAAAATGAGGCCTAAAAGGTTACCAGCGAGAATATTCCGTTTGGCATCGATTGTACCATTATTGGCGACTTTATCGCTTGCGCCGGCAAAACGGAAAAGTACCAAAAGTGTTTTTAGGTCTCATTCAGTATTAGTATATCAGTATATCATTAACGTAATTAATGAAAGCCATTTGAAACCAAAATAGGATTTGCATTAGTAAATTATAGTTATGAATAATGGCCCCCATTGTTCTGATTATTACTGGGAATAATTTAAGATTAAATCCGATAGTATCTTAAGATGTTTTTGCAGTTGGAAGAACAAGAATATAACTCATTTTGATTCACCTTTCTTTTCTTTACGAATGACGAATATCTGTTTGCCATACACGCGATCAAATAGGGAATAAGTGTTTAATCCGTAAGATTATAAGTATTGATTAACATTTCCTATAACTACTTCTAATTGAGGCTTTCTAAGAGCAACCCCCTTAATTTTGACTCGCAGCTTTTAATTTTAGACTAAAATATGAGCATAGAATCTACCTTTAAACAATGGGATTTATTTTTAAACACTGTGGCATGAGAGTGCCTAGTAATAATAGCTTTAGCGTCGCTAAGAATCATTTTCTGGATTCTCATATTGATTTTTTTCCAAAAAATATTAAAAGCTGCAATTGACGAGTATGAGCAATGCATAATACATACATATATAACGTAAGCATACCATAAAGAAAAATGAACCCCCAACAAAAGCTGATCGACTGCTATTAAACTCTAAAGAGGGGTTTATCAGAGGGAAAATGGCAATTAAAATCAATTAAAATTCCATTTAATTGATTTTTATTATTTATTTACTGTATCGATTTATTACTTATTGTAATGGATTGGATTATTTGAATATGAATTAGCTGAATATTTAAGAAAAATATTATGACTGCGAGAATAGGAAAAAAAACATTTCTTGAATATTTACGTACTTTCTTATAGAATGCAGATGAATTCATTTTTACTCAACGAAAATCAAAATTTAGTAGCTAATTAATCTGTCCTGTATCGAGCACCTTTAGTTCAGTGATCCGTATTAATGTGCCGCTTTTTTTAAAAAAAAAAAAACTTAAATGCTTCAAGAATAATTCAGAAAAGGGCATAATTCTCTTCTTACCCTTAAATTCTTCAATAAAAAAAAACTGCATTTTCAGCTATAAACAAGTTGAAATAATTTTCTAAATATAATTCAAAGCAGGAAAAATAAGGTACACAAACAGCTTGGAAATGGAACTAGCATTGAGATTCTCTTTAAGAAATATGGTGAAACTTAACAAAAAGTCTACGACGTGAAGTAATTTAGTAGAATATTTTCTAGCTCTTTATGATTAAATTGCACTCAATTATACTTTATAAACGAAATGTAAATACTATTTAATGTATATGTGTGGATGTGTGTGTGTGTGGCTCACTAGCGGCTGAGCTGTAAAGTCGTTGAACTCTGGCAGGTCGATCCGGGGTTCGAATCCGGATCGACGGGGATGGCTGTATTGGCGTTTCCGAGGTTTTCCCCACGTGTAATCTGCATAAGAGTCAGTTTTGCTTAGAAAGTTCTCCACGAGGCACCCTTACCCTTAGGCAAATAACCGTCGAATACTTTGCTATAATCAAACAAACCAGACCAAACAATAGATAAATAAATAAGTAGCTTAAAAATCGCTATATTTTATGTATACTTATCAAGTAGTATTTCAATATATATAATGATTAAAAGAAAGGAAAAGTCGGATCCTAACTGATTGTATATAATGTAATCCCTATGAAGGCCCTAACAATTCTTTTTCACTTAAAGTCGTAACCCAAAAAGAGAACAAATTAAACTTCAGATACGTATACAATACCTGAATCTAATACAAAAAATACAAAATATAAAAATAAATGATATATGTACGAAACCTAACTAACTATTTATATTGATATTACGTAAATATACGTATGGTAATAAACATTGTATAATAAATATATTTTATACCTTGTTCTATATTTGGTTCCATTTATATATACCTATACATAGATATATATAATTTAAGGATTCCATTTAAGGATTATAGTAGTAGTTAATACTACTACATATAAAAACACAAAAGTTCATCAATATGTATTTTTCAGTATTAACTTCAATATTAATTCAGTATTAACTTTTTCAGTATTAACTAACTATTTTTCAGTTCGTGTTATTTTATTCTGAAGAATTTTCTGCAGTCTAGTTTGCGTTATTTTATTCATAAAGTCTCAAATTAAAAACAATTTATTGTTTATATGTCATTAGAAAATTAACCAAAAAGCAGCGACCACAATGTAATTTGAAAGAAACAGTCCTTTAGCCGTGAAAAGGTTGAAAAGCCATTTCGGTTTATGACTATTATCTCACACACTCAGCTACTTCGCATACGTGGAACATAGCATTCGAAAATGAAAAATTCAATATTTACTACAAATTCATTCGTGTAACAATATCTGTCTTTCTACACCTATGGCTTTAAAAAAAGATGTTATTTATCTTACAGTTTATCGTTAAGTAATACATTTTCATTGTACAAAATTGCATTCATTCAAAGAATTCAATTTGTATTTTCCTCTGTATAAAGCTGAATGTTGAGAAGTTAGATGTTTAAACGACCCCCACATTTTCTGAAGACCATGAGCAAGATTATACCCTACTTTTCAGCCCCCTGTGAAAAAAGAAGTTCTAAATTTACGACCTGACCGCATATGAGGGTATTTCGCTTGGGTAAGTCTCTTGGACAGGATTACAGTTGATTATCCCAAGACATTCATAAAACACTTTTATCCCCGGTACGGCGAGACTGTCTATCGGAAGTCTAAAGGTGTATAGCATATAAAGGTTTTTAAATATTTTGTGATTTTCCTGTTGAATTGAATTTTACGTGGAGTAAGTGAGAACATGATATTTAATTAATAAATTTAACACACAAAACGTTAATAATAATAATAATAAAAAGTTTTGCAAACCATCTTACTACGAAAACTGAACTGATACGATAAACTGCATAAGAGGAGAAGAGACTGAAAAAATAGAAAAACATATGCCAACATTTAATACTGCATGGCGAATTCTAAAGATATGCTGCTTTTAAAATTTTTGTAATTTCGTTGTTGAATAGTATAATATGCAAGTGCGAAGAAAATTATACTTAATAATAAAACTGAAAAAAAAAAAAAAAAAGTTAGCACGAGTGAATGCAACAGCAGACTGGTTACCTTAACAAAACCTTTTCGGCGACATTTCAAATGGTACTTCCTTATTAGAGCGGCCTCTAAGATTGAATCTCTATATCGACTGAGATATCTTGTCGAAATCTCGCCACACGTTCTCATACCTTGCTGTGTGTTACATCTGGTTTGATTAGCTATTAAATTTTGTAGTCCGCTAAGGCAATAAAAGAGGGAGTACCGATTTCGTTTTCGTCTTATTGTTCAACAAAAATATAATATGCAAAATAAATCCAGAGCAAGGTAACAT